TATTTATATGTTGTACTTCATGTCTCGGCAATTATTACGTTCCTTTCCTATATTTTTCCCGCCATTGAACGTTATTACTATTGCGAGATTCAAAGATTCAAAGATGGCCGCAGCAAATTCGGGGCGAACAGAGCGAATAAACAGTGTAAACAACGCGTTAAGGATGATTGACTCTCTAAGATCAGTCATAGCTGACCAAGACACTGAGCAGGTAAATAAATAATTCATATTTTTGTGAGTAATGCATGATAATTTTATATAATTTTATATATCCACACAACACACTGTTTCCCTCGGTCTCAGTAAATAAGTGATAATTACCTGATAACATCAAACAAAATATTAAAGAAACGATGACTTATGTTTCGTTTTCGAGACCATCGTGTACATTATATAAAGTTATCATGCATTACTCACAAAAATATGAATTATTTATTTACCTGCTCAGTGTCTTGGTCAGCTATGACTGATTTTAGAGAGTCAATCATTCTTAACGCGTTGTTTACACTGTTTATATTCGCTCTGTTAGTCTGTTCGCCCCGAATTTGCTGCGGCCATCTTTGAATCTTTGAATCTCGCAATAGTAATAACGTTCAATGGCGGGAAAAATATAGGAAAGGAACGTAATAATTGCCGAGACATGAAGTACAACGTATAAATAAATATCCATTTCTTGTTTGATAAATAATCCATTTCAGATTTTTAGTAAATGGATTATATATTAAATAATCCAATTTGTAAATGGATTATATATTAAATAATCCAATTTGTAATTGGATTATATATTAAATAATCCAATTTGTAATTGGATTATATATTAAACAATCCAATTTGTAATTGGATTATATATTATACAATTACTTTATGGTTTCCGTGTTTGGATGGCCTGATCCAAACACGCGGGAATGTTGCGAGGGTTAAGAAAAGCGAGCGAAATCACGAGCCGAAGGCGAGTGATTTTGCCCGCTTTTCTTAACTCGAGCAACATTCCCAAGTGTTTGGATCATTCCATCCAAACAGGGAAACCATAAAGTAATTGTTTTATAAAATAACAACAACACGATAGTCTTCCGTGTTTGGATGGCCTTATCCAAACACGGATTTCGACCAATCAGAATACGCGTTATGTACATGTTATTTTATAATAAATAATCCAATTTGGTATAAGGATTATATATAAATAATCCATTTCGGTAGATGGATTGTATGATAAATAATCATTTTGCAGAAGGATTATTTATTAAATAATCCGTTTTGTTAAATGGATTATATAAAAAATAATCCATTTTCCGAAATGGATTATTTAGTAAACAATCCATTTTTTTTGGATTGTTTCACAAATCATTAAAATAATCAAGCTTTTTTGTATTAAATAATAAATGAACAAACGGCGCCCCATATATATATAGCTTGAAAAGTTCAAAATATGGCATTTCTTGTGCTCAGATGTATTACGTCATTTCGTGGAAGCGATATTTCCATGTAATAGTATACTGAGAAATAGGGCAACGTCACAAGGATTATTCCACTATGACGAGAGGAGGGTTAGAATTACAATATGAATTAGGGTTGAGGTTTTACAAAAGGTTAGGATTTGAGTTATGGTGAGGGTTACGGTTGGGTTTTTCCTAAGAAAACATTAGTGTCCTGTATCTGTTTTCACGGGAAGTGAGTTTCAAGCTGTAGGGGCCGATTACATGGAGCATTTTTAACCCCGGGGTTGAACTCAGCCCTGTTAATCGGGTTGGAAATTTTTGCGATTACATGGACGATTTCAACCCCGGGGTTAAAACGTTATACTATACGTTCTCGGCATCGATTCGCGGAAGTAAAAAAAGCCTTTAGTTTTGTTTTCTTGTAATAAATAGTCACTACCACGCATGCTCGAATAACTCATTATAATTTCAGCCCTGCGTTGAAACGAGCCTGCTGAAGCAGGGTTGAAATTTCAACCCCGGGGTTGAACTCAGCCCTGGGTTGAAAATTTTGTCATGTAATGGCGCGTTTGATTTTGATCGAGTTTTGTATTACAGACAGGGCTGAAATTTCAACCCGGTAGTGGCAGGGCTGAGTTCAACCCTGGGGTTGAAAATGCTCCATGTAATCGACCCCTTAAAGTGTGAAAGGTTTACCAGCTTCATGCAGTCATGTGAACAAACACATGAAACGAAGTCATTGAAAGAAAAACAGACATCGGGGGAAACATTCCCGGGGAACATACCCTAAAAACACCGAAAAAAGTACCCCGGAACAAATTACCATGGAACAAACCTCACGGAGGAAAATACCCCATAAACACATGCACAGTTTACCAACTTGATACTCTTACCAGTTTTACCAGATTGTAGATGTATGTCTTGGAATTTTAGGGCGGGCAAAACGTAGGTCTGTTTTCAGGCTAGTCTTGGCTGCGAAATTGTGTTCGCGCGAACTTTACGGGCCTTTAGTTGCAAAGTTACAAGCCTGTTGTTGTGTTTTGGTTGCAATATAACACAAGTCGGAAGACTGTATGCCTTAGCTAAGTTACCCCTATAAACGCTACAATAAAAAGCGAACACACTTTTTTAGAACAATCTTTGGAGGGTAAAAATGATAGTTTGACAGGTTTTTAGTGAAACTGGCGTTCAACGTAGATCGCGGCGCGATCTCATTCTTGATGAAATCATACACGACAACGCTATCAGTGACCTCTTTGTCGTTCCTCCCAAGATAAATAAACTATCTATTCATAAGATATAAATAGATAATAGATATCTATTTATCTAGTTTGTATGGAGCTTTTCATTGAACTGAAGTGTGTCAATGATATTGATCGCCATACAAGTCTGCAAAGAATAAATAAACATGCAATCATGTCTTACCTTCATTTCATCTTGTTTCCTTTCTATTTCTTCCATCTCAATTTTCACTTCACTTTGGAATTCATGAGTTACAGTATTAGTGTTAAAATGTGATCTCAGAGATCACACTGCATTCATTCTGACAAACTATGTGATTAATATATATTGACTATATAATTAGGAATCTTGTAAAACTTCTTTCAAAAAGTACGTCGATATCTACAAAGATACACTGTAGCTGTTCATTGAGGGAGATAAAACTGCATCAAAAAGTTGGTTATAATTTTCAGGTTTCTTCACTCAATCCAGAGCCGTCTTCGAGACGATATATACCAGGGTTTGTACAAAACTTCAAAGTCTTTGAAAAGTCTTTGAATGTTATTCTTCCTGACCCCTACGAACCGTGTGTTTTACTACAAAACAATTATAGTGACTGTCATACAAACTTAATAAAAGAGACGAAGAAAATCTGGTCTTACCTTAATTTCATCCTCCATTCGTGTGTTCTGAACTTTTATTTTATCTTGACTTGCTTTCAGTTCATCTTGGCTTGCTTTTATTTAATTTAATTTATTAACTTTGCCAGATTCAAACAATTAACGTTAACATAAAAACTGGCAGGGCAATCGCAACAGCTTGCGCCAATTACTGCGATCCCTAAATGTTAGACAAATACACTATATACGTACATAGAAAAATCAATTATTAACGAACTATATCAGATTCAACTTTTCACATTGCGACCCGCATGACCACTTCTAGTTTCGGAAGCTGACTGAATCAGAAGACGTTTAACCCTCACAATCCTAAACCTTCAGCAAAACCCTGGATAGGCCCATAGATACCAATGCGAAAAGCTACTTCTGAAAACTATTAAAATCTAAAAACAACACGTTATCGGCCTTGTAAGGTCGCGAGCTTGATTGCATTTTAAGCAAACCCATTTATTCCATTCTGACTTGCTTTAATATCTTTGCAGTCGTGACATTTGGCGATTCTAAATTGGCAGAGATTTTTTCATGGTTTTCTTGATCTCGTCTATTCACCTCCGTCCCACATCCTTCATTTCCACACACAATAGAAACTCGAACGATGGATGTGATCGAAAACTTCTCCTTGATAGCCATAGATTACTGATTACTACTTAATTCGCACTTGAAATAACTATTGTAAAAGAGAAACAGATGAATCAAGCTTTGTGTTAAACCTGGAATTGGGGGACAGGAATTGCATGAAAAACACAGCAACTTTAAAAGCAGAAATTTGTAAAACCATTTAGGGACTCATCGTCATTATTTATGGCGAGGGGTGGCACCGAAGAGAAAAGGGTTGGATAAACAAAATCTTGAGTGAGCAGAAGGTTCGGTAAATGAAAAACAAAACAACTCAAGGGTTGGGTATAAAATAGATTTGTCATTTGCAAAGTATGACTGGCTGAAATATTACAAACTAAAAAGCAATGTCAACAGTCATAGGTCATTACAATCATGCATAGTTAATAGAACACATATGACCAATCGACCGCGCTTTTCGCATGCGTCAAATTACGCATGGGACGGCCTTCAAATTTTCGTTCAAATTTCCGTTTGGGGGTAACACCGCGGTCAAACGTCCGCGCGTAGTACTGCTTCTTTTCAAAATACTGGAAATAGTATTGTCTTCACGAAGCTCTAGCAAATTACGAGTGCTTAAACTCAGTATAACTTTGTCTTGACCCAGGGGAGGAATGAGGGTCTTCCCGAGATGCAACGCGCAAATCAATGCGGCTAATTATTATTCAAGATATTTATTCTCAACGCGCCGTTCGATTATTGTTGCTGTGAAGATCTCGTTTTCTCAATGGTATGTTTTGATAACTTTTTTGTTTAGAAATTTAATAAAAGAAGTTTAGAATAATTTTGTATATATATCGCCTTTTACTTATGTTAAATTCCCATTGTATTTATGCATGTTTTGGGTCAATGAACATGACCGTCAAAGTGGCATCGAAATATTCACGAGTAAATTGTACTTTTTTACAAGGAAACTAAAATGAAATCACATGAGTGAATTCAGGAATGTCTGCTCTTTATAATGATATTTTACTCCATAAAACCGAAGAGTTATCGCGGTTTGAAAATGAGCTATTTTTGCTATAATTATACTATGATAGCAAAAAATGAAATATTTGAAGGCAAATAGAGTTTTTATGAGTTTCTTGGTTGAAAATTTAATCCAAGTTGATCACACGGAAGTTGCCGATGTGAAGGAAGAAGCAAGGGGGATTGGTGACGAGCCTCGGTCTGGCGTAGAACGCCGACATAAAACCAAGGCTACCCCGTGAGATCGGCCTCATTTGCCGCTTGATTTCGCCGATAACAGAAGAGAAATTTTGAAGTCTTGGATATTTTCAATCCTTCACATCTTGTGTTAAATATATATTGGTAAGAAATCATTTTAGCAATTAACTTTCATTTAACTTACAAAGTTTTGTTTACGATCTTAACTATTTCTCTTGTATTGATTTTACTAAATATAATATTTTGTGTTTGGATTTGTGTTTTAAGTCAACGTTTAGACATGGCAAACACCGACCCTAAAGTTATCATTTTAGGTCACTCTTTTGTAAAACGTCTTCAGCGTGATTTAAATTCATCTTTCGATCCAAGGGCACGTAAAGATTTTAAACTTCGAGGTACAGCTCCTGTCTCTTTACACGGCGTAGGAGGCAGAACTGTGAGTAAACTACGCCAATTTGATTTAAACATTTTGAGTCGATTACGTCCAGTTATTGTTATTCTGGAAATAGGAACTAACGATCTCAGCCATCAAAGGCCTGAGGTTGTTGGATCCTCGATCGATGATTTAGTTTGCCATATTCTAGGCGAATTTTCGAGCGTCCGAGCTATAGGTGTTTGCCATGTGATTCCCCCGCAGTTATTTGTATCTGGCGGCCGAACAATTTTTTTAAAAGGTAAAGCTTTTGAATCAATACCTAAGCGTTGTATTGGAGCAATATCCTAATGTTTTTTGTTGGCAACACAAGCAATTTAACAGTATATTTAAGGATTTATATTTACATGACGGCGTTCACCTCAATAGATTAGGTCAATATTTTTTATACCGTAGTTATCGAGGTGCCATATTACAAGTTTTGAGCATGCTGCAGTGATAGGTTTAGGTGAGTAGCACTAGCCGCTGCGTCAACCATGTGTTTGATAAGGTTATCGTGTTACCTTTTTACATTTGTAATTAGTTTTTATTAATTCCTAGTTTGCCAATTTTGAAGTAACACTGTCATTGTATTTATATCATGGGGATATAGTAATTTATTGAGATATTGGCATTGTCCAGCTCACTTTAATTTATATCGGTAATTTAATGCTATTTAAGGTGGCTCCCTAGGGTTTTTTAATTTACTACACTATAGTATTCAGGAGACTCCTGTTTCTTTACTTTACATGATATGAAGACGAAATTTATTGGACACATTGACAATGTTCTCCTGAACATTACAAATTTCTACTTTTGTGTTAAAAATATGTTGTCATGGCAACAGCATGCTTAGAATAAAGCTCATAATTTGTCTTTTTCAGGTCATTTTAAAAAGTTCCTTCGGTGAAATTTTTTAAAACTTTGTATAAAAGATAATACTTGTATAATTATTTTCCCCCCTCAATTAAAAAAAATTAAATCGATACGTTTCTTAGAAAATTTAAAAAACGTCAAAAATGAATATTAAAAATTTTCCCTTCGATTTAATTTTAAGAAAAAAGGATATTGCACTTGTTGTACCGATATTAAAAAAATGTGCAAAATTTTAAAAAAATTTCCCGAAGGAAAACGGAGAAATTTGGGTTCAATTTTGGCAATTTTTACTAGATTTTTACGCGAACAATTTAATACCCCACTGACGTGTACATGCATTCTGCATAAAACAACAAGGCATGACTTTTTCGAAATCACAAAATATAAATTATGTTCGATATACTGTTTATAACTGTGTCGGTTAATGGTCAACTAAGCGTGGATTATACATGTAAAAATGGCAAAGATATTTAGGTAATTACTGGTTATGACTTCTTGGTATTAATTTGAAAAATGTTTGTCAAAATTCGTCCCGTGCGAGTATACTATCGTCGGATGTTTTCGCAAAATGCCCGTTCAAATTTCAGTTTTTATAGCGATATGTTTGGAGTTTCGGCCCTGCTCATTTCACCCGTAGTGGGCTCATTATTTAAGTCATCTTTATTGTCATAAGTGCTGCTAGATTGTGGAGAAAACACTGCAAATTCTTGAGGAAACTTTATATCCTAATGTTCACGATTGAACCTCGCGTACGTCGGTTCAAAAAACATCCAGAATACCGCTTGAAAAAAAACAAGTTTACATTATCTTCTTTTGAACATCACATCCAAGTATCGTTTTGGCTTTTAGAACTCTTTTATGCTTTCAACTGAAGCAAAGTTCACACTTTTGTTTCAAAAAAGAGTTCCATATAAAACACAACGTTCGTTCGTATTTTGAAGTCACACGAGTTTTATTTTACATATATACGAAGAACGTAACCCCCGGAAATAAAACCCTAGGGAGCCATCTTAACATGAGCATTTGGCTGTTTATAAGTTGGCCTTTACTGCCAGTGTGGGTTTATAACTCTAACTTATATCATTTGGTAGGTTTACAATTGTGCCAGTGAGGTCTTTGTTACCTTTTGGCGATATATTATATATTTTTCATGCCAGTGTGGTTTAATATAATCATTTGGCACTTTTTCAATTTTGTCAGTGATGTCTTTGTTACCTTTTGGCGACATATTATATATTTTTCATGCCAGTGTGGTTTAATATAATCATTTGGCAGGTCTACAATTTTGCCAGTGAGGTCTTTGTTACCCCTTTTGGCGATATATTATATATTTTTCATGCCAGTGTGGTTTAATATAATCATTTGGCAGGTCTACAATTTTGCCAGTGAGGTCTTTGTTACCTTTTGGCGGTATATTATATATTTTTCATGCCAGTGTGGTTTAATATAATCATTTGGCAGGTCTACAATTTTCCCAGTGAGGGCTTTGTTACCTTTTGGCGATATATTATATATTTTTCATGCCAGTGTGGTTTAAGATAATCATTTGGTTTGTTACATTTTTCCAGTGAGGTCTTTGTTACCTTTTGGCGATATATTATATATTTTTCATGCCAGTGTGGTTTATTATAATCATTTTGGCTTCTTTACACTTTTGCCAGTGAGGTGCGCTGCCTTTTGGCTAGTTGTGTTTATAAAAATTTGGATGCCAGTGTGGGGTTTATATAACTTTTCAGGTCAAATAGCTGCCAAGTTATGTATGTTTCTTTCATATAGTATAATATGCCTCGACGTGTAACACGATCCACCTCGAATCCGGGTCCAAGCGCAGCAGACGTTGTTTCAACTGTGAACCGCCCAGCTGTAAAACGTCCAGCCAAAAAGGCAACTCGACCAGCAAAGAAATCAAGGTCAACATCCAGCCAAATACCTGTACAAGTGGTTGAAGCTGCAGCAACAACACTGACCCCAGATCTACTTGAGCAGCTGGTGACAAAGGTTGCTGATGTTGTGACACAGAGACTATCTGGAAGTTCCATGAGTACCAATCCAACCGCTTCAGTCAGCCTACCAGGGTCGTCGAGTCCACATCCGCCAGATGCCAGCATTCTACAGCAGCCAGTAGACCACAACATCTTGCAGGAAGTCCAACCTACAATAGATTCCCTGGTCGAAGTAGCTGTGGGGCAGTCCCAAGAAGCTATCGCAGGTATACGTTATGGTGATACACCATCTATTCCAAAAACTATTTTTCATTCAAGCAGCCTGGAAATAGATTCTAGAGTGAACGATAGAGTAAAAGCCAAAATTTGGAATAATGAATATGTGGAATTTAGTACCCTTATTTCTAGTCAAGGGAACAATAAGTTCCAATTGTCGTTTCAAAGTTTAGAGGGTAATAATGGCCCATCTATTTGTCTCGAGCCAATTAACCGGAGCCAAAAAATTTTCAATATTAATCAATGGCTCCAAGCATTTCATATATTTGTAGGAGTCTACACTCGTAGATTTCCAAGTGAATCCCCGGGGTTGATGAAGTACTGTGAAATAATCCAAGACTTAGTGTCACGGGGTTTCAACTGGAAATTTTATGATGAGAACTTCCGTTTTTTAAGACAAAATCCTGCTTCAGCCTTGCCTTGGGGAAGTGTTCACTGGGAGCTATGGTTACGTGCACAACCGTCTTCCCCTATGTTAAGTAAGCGAGCCCAGCCATTTACTGGCCCTGCCAAAGGTAGCGATAATCAACGTGTACCACATGGTTTTTGTTTCAAATTCCATCGTGGGTTAGATTGTGCAAGTTGTGCTTTCAAACACACATGCTTTCATTGCCAACGCGAGCATCGAGCGAGTCAGTGTAATTTTTTTCGTACCCAAGGCAAAGCTTTTGGCAAAAACACACAATTTCACAGACAAGCAGCTCCCCACTCCGGTAAAAGTTGATCGTTTAGTAATTTTTCTGGAAGGATATGATCAGTTATTAACTGAATTTTTGACACATGGTTTTAGTGAAGGTTTCCCTTTACATTATCAAGGCGCTTATAAATCATTTATTGCAAAAAATTTAGTATCTGCTTTGAGCAATCCACAGGCAGTCGATGCAAAAATTTCAAAGGAATTGTCGGCCTGTCGTTTAGCAGGTCCTTTTGATAAACCACCCTTCCAAAATTTTTGTGTATCTCCTTTGGGAGTTGTTCCTAAGAAAGTGCCTGGCGAATTTCGTCTTATTCATCATCTTTCATACCCACATGGGTCATCTGTGAACGATGGTATACATCATTGAGCATTCAACTGTTTCTTATTCTACAATAGACGATGCTATAAAGCTTATTAAGCAATTAGGTCCAGGATGTTTTATTGCAAAAACAGACATTAAAAATGCTTTTCGACTATTACCAATTCAGCCGAAAGATTATCCTTTATTAGGAATAATGTGGAAGGGGGTTTATTATTATGATCGCTGTATGCCTATGGGTTGCTCGAGTTGTTGCTCAACTTTTGAGAAGTTTAGCACGGCTGTTCAGTGGATAGCACAAACCAAATTGAATATCCAGTATATGTTACATTTACTAGATGATTTTTTATTAGCTGCAATGACTGAGAAATTGTGTAGGGACCAGTTACAATTATTTCTGTTTTTATGCGATTATTTGGGCATTCCCATGGTACCTGAAAAAACTTGTGGACCTTCAACGAAACTGTCTTTTGCCCTTCTACTTCATCTTCGAGTACTTCGACAAATGCACGACCAGTCACTTTCTCTGAATTTTGTTCTCGCAAGGAGGGCGATCGAAGCAAACATTTTAAACAAAAGAAAGATGGTAAAAGAATCAAATTACATGATAAATCTGGGAAATCAAGCGAAGTGAAAATAAACATTGGGATTATGACGAAAAGAGAAGATGTGCTTGTTGTTAAAAGAGGTGTAACTCTCCCAGTAACAGTACGAACGAATATAAACTATGATGAATTGATAAAGAAAGCAGTAGAGAAACATCACCGTTTCAATAAAGACATTATAAGACACGACGACAAAATGTTCTATTATCTCCTCTATGGTGACAAGAAAAAAGCAGATAAGCTGCCTGGTTGTGATGAAGCATTTTCCTTGAAAAGATATAAAGAGGAAATTGACAAGCCGTACAGCCGAATTACTTTATTTTTGTGCTCTTGTACAGATTATATGGCTAGCATTTTTAATGACCTCTTTGACTCTGATTCAGATCCTGAAATTGATCCAGCGAGCTACTGTATGGAGCAAGAGATGCCTGAAACCTTGCCTAGTGGTTTATATGCACCTCCACCAGTTGTGGTACAAGTAGATGATGAGCCTGAGTTAAATACACAGGTACAACAACCTCAACCATCAACATCGAAAGAGGTACAGTGCCCAATGTGCTTTTTGATGTTTCCCATGCAGCATATTCAAGAACACGCTGATAACTGTTCGCCTTGGGCAGTGGAATCAGAGCAGTCAGCAGATTTGTCTGAATGTGGAATTTCAGCAGAAATGGAAGAACCAGCAGAGCAGGTGTCAGAGTTAGATAAGTCACAGTACAAGAGTTTGTTGAAAGAGGAGATTGCGGGGTGTGCTACCCGCTTATCTACAAATGTGAAACGAATAAACATAAGAAGAAGATTCTTATGGGAAGATTTTAAGGCTGCAAGGAAAAGTAGAATTGGACCACTTTCTAATTTGAAAGTGGTTTTTGTAGGCGAACCATCTATTGATGATGGTGGTCCTAAGAGAGAATTATTTTGTGGTAAGTCATGTCAACCTCATGGCAGTTAATTAAATTATTAAATCAGAGCCTGAAATTATTTCAACATTTGTCCATACAAATCTCCAACCAAAATTTTCTTCAGTTTAAAGAAAACTTGAAATTTACAAATATATGTGTTGACTATCATAAATTATTTTACAATCTCAATTCATCAACTATGTAAATATTTGAAATTCTGTTCTAAAATATGCCAAGAAACACTTTCTATTATATATACACGAGCTGATTAGACCTACTGGTTTTTGGAAGAATAACTGATTCCAATTTGTCAAATTTCTCTTAATGAAACGTCTGAACAATTTACCATTTGCTCGGAAAATGGCAGGAAACCACTATTTCAGGCTCTGTTAAATAATCAAGAATATGTACCCTTGTGCTGCATTTTTTATATTAATCTAAACATAATGAATAGACCACAGTATACGTACAAGCTTAGGTAACTTGCTTGAAATAAAGAAATAAAACTCATTCATGTTTTTATCTAGATTTCTGTAAAAATATGGTTGGTCATTTTAACATGTGCAATATGTCACCCACCACCCCCAACAGTAAATAATTAATCCATTAAAGGCCTAGTCACACTACACAACGACGTGTGACGTAAAGCATTTTACTTTACAAGTAAAATCTTCTGTGTTTACAGTCAAATATAGAGAAACTATGGCTCATAATCATTAAGGCATATTGTGGTATCATGAATTGGTTAAACCATCATATGCAGTATGTTATGGTGGGTTATTTATGCGTCAAATATATTTTCCAATTAGGTATATTTTCAACCTTTAGGCTTCGGGTTCAAATTATATTAACGCTACCGTAACACAAATAGCATGAAACCTTATACCTTTTACATATTTTATTTACTTTCAACAATATGAATTAGCGTAATCCGTCTTCTTTAATAATAATTATTCCACAATATTCCAATGTTCTTCAGTTTACTTGACGAGGCTTAATTATCTAGCCTTTTAATTATATACTTC